CCCAAACGAATTCACTAAATCGGATGAAACAATTTCGTTGTATTGCTCGAGAATATAACAGTTTTGTTGCAATTAATAGAGGATGGGGCAAAGAGAGTATTCACGCTAGAACATTATCATGATCGTATCACAGTACGATGTAGTTTAAGTGGTCATTTCGATTCGCTGGCCACAAGGGAATTCTCGGAAATTGAACAAATCGAATTGTACTTTACCTCTCAATGCGTCGTTAACAATTTCACACAACCTCGATTGAGATGGGATCATTTCACTCCGACGAAAAAAGCTTTTCATTATATTTCATCAAAGGATTGAAAGGATGCAACGCCGTATGTCCACATGAATTCTATAACACAATGAAAATCTTCACTCATAAATTGCGTGATAGGTAAACCGATTTCGATTTGGCGACAAAGATAAATTCATGATCAGCGTTGTGAAACAATTAACTGTTGGCAGATTTACGGATTCCAGACAAATGCTTTGATTAGATTAGTCAAAAGAATGGATGGATAAAAAGCTGAAGAGAAAATAAATTTCAACCTTCAGAATAAAAACATCAAAATTCTGTGATTTCTAACATTATGAAAAGTTTTCTGGCAGCGTACGCGATAAATGAGTCAGTTCTCAATTAATGGTTGCATTCAGGCGAAGATAAATTCCAACAAACGTCATTAAGTAGCTCATCGCTTCCAAGAAGTTGCAGGAAAAACTGCCGTTTGAATTTCGGAATTTCGAGAACAAATTATCTTCTTCATTGAAAATTAGTGTGGATTTGTGCAAGTGCAGAACAATTTTCATCCATATTCAGCGTTTGAGAAACCCAGCAACGCCTACAGAATAAAAACCTCAACTCGAAACTGAACTAACTCCCTATTGTAGTCATTCTTCGCGTCCCATCTCTGAACAACTGAGTGCAACATAAAATAGCTAAAATACGATCAGAACTATTTCGTATCGTTTTGTCGTACAATTTCTTTTTCACCTTCTCTCAATACATTCCAATTAACACGACTCGTACTTTGATGTGGTGCTACCTTTACAGAACATCAATCTTCATGAAACCTGTATGTATGTGTCACATTTTATCATTACAGCCATCATTATTACAGTCATTATCTTTTCAATTAGTCTTGTTTCTACTTTTACTGAACATTTCATCAGTTTTAATCGAAGATATTTTAATTGAGAACAGTTATAAATTTGCTTATTGCTCAAAGAACAAACAAGATGGGTCACTTTTTTTGCACACCTATTGTCTTTCCACACTGGCTCAGTGGTAGTTGTTTATGGCGATGAGACATGCGAGCCGTGTTCAATTCCTGTTAACGACCTATGACGATAAAAACATTGCTAGTTCTGCTTCTGACTGTTAGTGATCGACAATCATAGATCCTTCCGAGGTTGTTCTGCATAAATTGCTTGTTTTTGAATAATTTGTTGTTTATCGAATGAAATCAAATAAGGAATGAATGCAAAATGAGCAAAACAGCAAAAAGATGAACATAAAAGTACTTCATGATAACATCAATTCATTACATTAATTCTCAAAAATGGTTAAACATAGTGTAAATTTCCAATTTAAATCCATTCCAAACCAGCGGTTCTCACAGGGCTATGCTCCGAGTCCCTTCCCTCCTTACTATGTTTGGCCGTCTCTTCTTCCTTTAAACAATTTAATGGATTCCCAGTATACTGTTATTAACCTGTTCTATTCGGTGATCTATTATAACACACAAACAACTCAGGTCAAAAATCGGGAACTGACCAAGCTATGAGAAATTCGTCAGCGATATTGAAGGGATCGAATCTTTGAAAGCATAGAACATTTCAAAGTAATTTTAATCAATTGTGAGTAAATATCGAAAGTAACTTTCCAGATTAACCTGTTATTAGCAGCGCATTTGGCCACTCAAATAGGTTCAAATTATCCTAGATTAAGACTTTCGCTCGTGCGAGAACCACTGTTCTGAGTAACACAAGGTCATTACAAGTATTCAGATAGAATGAATTTGACCAGTCGGATAGGAACAAATAATGAAGATGAACAGAAGTCGTTGTCAACAAGTGAAATAATCAACTGAAAGTGACAAAAGAACAACACCGATCGGATCCTACAAGAAAAGTACGATGACTAGCATTGAACTAAAGTGCTCAAGATTCGAAAGAGATAACTGAAAAATGTTTAACCAGGTACATGACAATTCTATGAACTAATAGGTGCAAAAATTACCCAAAAAAAATCGAACTCAGATTCTACTCTCACGAACCTTTTGTCGTGGGCTTCTTACAGAACGCAAGCGCACTTCATCAACGAAGACGCATTGCTCCGAGTCGATCAAGTTTTTACATAAATAAAAAACTAAAGAAATGCTTTCATAAAGCTGATTGTGATATATTGAGAGATTCACATCGCACAATTACTGATTCAACAGTGAATGAAAGTTGGCGAATATATTAAAAGACAATAAATTCAAAAGCGGCGTGCAGGTGGAACAAGTTTCACGCATGGACTCGTGCTTTAAAAAGCGTACGTAGAAGTGAAACATCGGAAAAGACTGATTTTTACTGGATCACACAGAGAAATGAATTTTTTTACGAACGCAACTAGCTGCGAAAGGACAACAAAACCGCAAAATTGATCTTTTAAAATTAGACCATAGAAGAAAGCCACAGAGCAGATGATTTTGTTCGCATCAAAAATGGATTACTAAACTAAAAACGAACACGCCTAAGCAATCACTGAACAAACAAATAAAACAACACCGTACAACGACTGCAAATCAAAACTGAAACCGCAATGCAATTCGAGAATCTTTAGAAGGCAACTTGAACGAAAACAGTACAAATATGACACTTTGTTCGAATGATTGAAGGCTATAGAATTGTGAGAAGGTGACTCGAAAAATGTTTCCGCGTTCAGACGTCTATGACTTCCCAGGAGACGTTTATCGTCAGAAAGATGACAATCTCAAGGGACATCAGCCGATACGAAATTATCACCTAATTAATATCAAACAATGAATCCTTCACTAGAGTGTCTTCCTCATTCATTACTGAACATCAAATAAACTATTCCTACTGTAGTCAATAAATCATCAATGAGACGCAACTGTTTGCTTATATAAGCGATGATGATAAGAATTAAATCCGAGATCGAAAGAATCAAATTCTCCACAATATCGTAGGTTATAGATGTAGCCCAGATCCAAATCTGAGATTTCTATTCTTTCCTGACTAGCCGTTAGGAAATTATGATACGGTTTCCAGGATCAACCTAAAACCTGCCAAGAGAGGACTTCAAAGAAGATTCATGAAGNTGAGCAGTATGTCTCAACGTACTGTTTCACTCCAATGCAAAAATCAGAACTGAAGTGACCTCACAACACTTTTCATGGGCTGGACATCATCAAGTATGATTGAATTCTACCGCAGAGAACTTCCGTGCAAATGTGTGGGCTTTTCCGTGAATTTTCCAATTCAAAAGTACTGTGATGAAAACTATCCAACTGAAAAATGTTTCTAATGTCATCCCATTTTCAAACGACAAAATTTCGCAATGACCATAAAATACTATCCATCGAATTCAATAAAACAATCAAATATCTATAAAACACCTAATGATTGTTCGAATAAGAGCACGTGGAAAAAAGTTATGTGTTTGCGATAAAGTGCAATAGAATTTGACTTTGATTCACTTACAAAACATGAGAAGGTATATGAAGGAAGGGGAAGGAAACTTGTAAGACGTGTGAAAACCGAAGCAACATTGTGATCGACGTTGAACTTATAGTGACATTCAATCAGATGAGATAATGACAAATTGATCACAGAAGCTGACAAATACAATTGATAAACGAAGAAACCATTACAAATGAGTGTAAAATGTAGATTTTGAAATCAGTATGCCGAAACGATACCAACGACAGTGGAAATGTAATCATCAAGAACTTTTATGATGGTGATACGGATCGGTGAATAAAGACAGATTCTCACGATGAGGAGAGCGACCNTTTCTGAATCAAACAAACTCGTAATGATAACAGTACAAAATATACACAACAATCAACGTTCCATTCCAACAAAACAACAACAAAAACTAGACGTTCACCTACGTATGCAATGGATCACCCATCCATACAAAATCCTACTTTAAAGAGTCATCGTATCCTATCCATGAAAGCATTGCTTTAAAACAACGAATATAAAAACGTTCTTCAGTTGAAAATCGATGCAACAAGTAACTTTCAACGATAGAGAACAGTGCTTTACCAAAACCGCACAAATTCATGACGAAATGCCCAAAAAAAACAAGCATTATTCAGGAACATAACCGAAGAATTTGTGGTAATCCTCGAAAATGCATTCTGAACATCGCGAGAATTTTGTATGAAATTTCAGACGCTAACAATCATGAACTGATCAAATAAATTCGAATTAAGTCAAAGCCATCTGCACTGGAACAACAACTTTAATGAAATTGATATCGCGTAAAGGTATGCATACTTTCAATGCATTTACAAGTAGTTAGAAGAATTTAGTTACAATTTAGTTACACTTAGTAACAAGAATCCTATGAATGATACATTACTAGCTCTCAAGAATCGCCGATTTGATTATGGAAAGAAGTAAAGTGATAAATAAAAAACCCAATAGGTTCCTCGTATTATGGAGAGTGATTTATTGGATAAGTTTCCATGGTGATAATTACGCAAAAGGTAATATTTGGGCAAAAAATATTTTACAGTGGAAAAATATTCGTAAAGAAGTATTGAGTTATACGGTTGTTAATCAGATCTTATACGAACGAAATGGCAACCCACTAATTAATGTGATCAGAAGTGAACCAATGAAAATTTCCAAGTTATCATAATACTATTGAACACTCTTTGAACATACATACATCGAATAAATCAAGCTCACTGACACAATCACAACAGGCTGACTGATTAAGGAATAATATGAGATGTATATGTATAGGAACAGCACGAGGTGATGGACTAGACGTAATTGTTGAGACACGATATGGCACGTGCTGTTGACAGTCTCACCTCAACATCGTGATCTTTTAGTAACAACATCAAACCTGAAATATATCAGACATTATCGTTCGCAAACAAATAATCGCTTCAATCAAGAACAAAATTTGCTCGCATTCTCCAAAAACGGCAGCTAATAGAATGTTTCCAGCAACAAGCTGCATAAAAATAAATTGCCAGCTTACCGAGAAAATGCTATCCTCTGCTGAAATCCGAATCAATCGATTATAATTCAAAAAATCTGAGAAAACAGGCGATGAATGCAATGAAATTAAAATTCCGTCAATCCGGATAAGTTATCTCTCTATGCAAGTACTTTCATATAGTTAACGTGTAGGTTTTTTACCGCTTTGAGAAATTCCAAGGAACAAGCCATAAAGGAACATCAATAAAACATTGCTTGTAATGCAATTGACCAAACACAAACTAACCAGCAAAAATGAGTTCTTTAGAAACGGTGCTTCTTAATTCGGCGGTCAGCTCGCCCAGTAAAAATCCGGTCATATATGCTGCATTTGCACGAATTCGAGACGATGTACTTTTGAAATAGTTGTTGCAATTCAACGCATAATAATTGATTCGATCAGGAAATGAGAACGCCTGAAAAATGTCTCGTCATGTTCTCAAAAAATAGCCCAGCAGTCCACCTCAGAGGAAGAACAATGAAAACGTTCAGAATGCATTCAATCAAAAACTCTACTTAACACAACAATTCGTCAGTGGTTATCAGCTGAAGCATTTAGCTCTGTTTGTTATTTATTTTTTAAACAGTCAACGAACAATAGCAACCCACTAATTGTAAGTGTGATCAGAAGTGAATCAATAAAAATTTTCAAGTTATCGTAAAACTATTGAACACTCTTTGAAAATACATAAATCGAATAAACTATGAAATGAAATGCAAAAGAATAAATTATGAAATGCAAAAGGCATTAAACGGCACGAAAACTTTTTTCGGAAAGATATTAAAAGTTTGGAAAGGTATTAACACATTTTAAAAGCAGTACAACATAGACAATTCAGAAATTGAACACTTCCAGAAATGCCTAACCAGAATCATACAGAATTCTCGCAAAAACTGCAGGTAATTGCGACATTTTTCATCTGCTTTCAATTCACGCCCAATCAGCGACGCAGCTGTATCGGAATTCAGAAGGTCTCCAACCAACACTAAACATCGCGCACACATCTGCAACAACAACAATAAAAATAATAAAAACACTAATAATACAACAACTGATAACCAGAAATACACTGAACTAAACTAAATTTGACCAATAACACAATAAGCCTAACACTAAAACCGGTCACTGATATCACTGAATAATGTTTTCTCATGATTGCCATCTACTGAACTGAGATTTTTACGTAAGTCAACTGAAGATTACGAATCATAGTTCAAAGTAGCTCAACAAAGTGGGAGCCAAATTATGTCTGAAATGAACTTTCAAAATGAGTAAACAAACTGACTGACTTGTTTAACTTGATCTTCTTCATCATTCAGATGCAACAGTATCGAAACGATATTCACCAGAAGCTGCTCTCGAAAGCAATCGCACGCTCCCACCCGTGCACCAAGCTCACCAAACAAGCTAAACGATACTGCACGCAAAGCACCACTTTCCTGCAAATGTTCCACTTGCATTCTTTCATTTACCTGGATCGGCCAGGCTATCAAACGTTTATAACGTTGCTGGCCACAATGCTCGCGTTTGCGTGCGCATTGTTTTAGGCTCAATTTACGCCATCCCGCTGGCTGGGCGAGCAGGCCAACCGAACACAACCGAGTAATTAAT